GTGAATGGAAGTGACTCTATAATTATCAATCAGCTGCTGCACCTGCAGGGCTCTAATGAGGAAAGTGGCGGGGTCTGCATCCTGTTAAACATGAATTCCCTTTGGGAGTATCTCACCAAAAATGACATTTTTGTTGCAGGGGATGTCCAAAATCTGACTTGTATCTTAGTGCAGACTCCTGGGAAAATCAGTTAGCCAGTCACAAAGGCAGGACATGACATTCCTGGGGGGTGGGGGGGGGGGGGGGGGGGGGCCTTCCTATACCATCTGTGCACAGAAAGCCTCCAGGCTGCCATATTGCATTTTACAGAAAGTTACAGCAGCTGCAGATTGTAAAGTAAAGGTCATTTTTAATAACAACATTCAATTACAATATGACTTGTGACACAATTGTATACGCGATGTTCATTTTTTATTTGCTATTTTTTTCCCCAGGAAAGTGGATTTACTCTTTAAAATGTAAATTCTCCTTTTCACAAACATCAAAAAAGGTGAACTCCCTCCTCACCCCTTGGTTTGTTGCACTTACCTCCATGGGTGATCAGCTGTCACTGCCCACACAGCAGCCACAGCAGAGCAAGGATTTGAAAGCCCCATCTTTTTCTGTGCTTAGGGCTTCCAGGGTGATCGGAGAAAATCGGATTGGGGATCTCATGTGACCACTTTGACCAATCAGAACTGCTCTGATCCACCTTTAAAGCCCTACAGAAATAATGAGAAGAGCAGGGATTTCAAATCTCCCGACTGCTACACCGGCTGCATGGGCATGGACCGCTCATAACCCACCGGCGGGGGGGTGGCAATAGGTGTAGCAGGGATCGGGGGATATGTGTAAGGTGTTAGGACCCTTTCATGCGGGGTGGACTCTGCCAGCAGATCTGCCTGATCAGCAAGATATCTGTCCATAGACCCCTGCTGAGCAGGTGGATGACAGGTCCTTTATGGGTGGTTGGATGTTGTATTGCCTATGAAATGTGTTGGCCTTGGATCTCCCCTCCTCTGCACACCACAATGCTAGAGGACCATCCACCTCCCCTCCTCTGCACGCCACAATGCTAGAGGACCATCCACCTCCTCTCCTCTGCACGCCACAATGCTACAAGACCCCCCCCCCCATCTGCATGACCATCTCCCTCCCCTCCTCTGCACGTCACAATGCTACAAGACCATCAACCTCCCCTCCTCTTCACGTCACAATGTTAGAACACCATCCACCTCCCCTCCTCTTCACGCCACAATGCTAGAGGACCATCCGCCTCCCCTCCTCTTCACGCCACAATGCTAGAGGACCATCCACCTCCCCTCCTCTTCACGCCACAATGCTAGAGGACCATCCACCTCCCCTCCTCTTCACGCCACAATGCTAGAGGACCATCCACCTCCCCTCCTCTTCACGCCACAATGCTAGAGGACCATCCACCTCCCCTCCTCTTCACGCCACAATGCTACAAGACCCCCCCCCATCTGCATGACCATCTCCCTCCCCTCCTCTGCACGCCACAATGCTAGAAGACCATCCACCTCCCCTCCTCTTCACGCCATAATGCTAGAGGACCATCCACCTCCCCCTCCTCTTCACGCCACAATGCTACAAGACCCCCCCCCCATCTGCATGACCATCTCCCTCCCCTCCTCTGCACGCCACAATGCTAGAAGACCATCCACCTCCCCTCCTCTTCACGCCACAATGCTAGAGGACCATCCGCCTCCCCTCCTCTTTCACGCTACAATGCTAGAGGACCATCCACCTCCCCTCCACGCCACAATGCTACAAGACCCCCCCCCCCCATCTGCATGACCATCTCCCTCCCCTCCTCTGCACGTCACAATGCTAGAAGACCATCCACCTCCCCTCCTCTGCACGCCACAATGTTAGAAGACCATCCACCTCCCCTCCTCTTCACGCCACAATGCTAGAGGACCATCCGCCTCCCCTCCTCTTCACGCCACAATGCTAGAGGACCATCCACCTCCCCTCCTCTTCACAATGCCACAATGCTAGAGGACCATCCACCTCCCCTCCTCTTCACGCCACAATGCTAGAGGACCATCCACCTCCCCTCCTCTTCACGCCACAATGCTAGAGGACCATCCACCTCCCCTCCTCTTCACGCCATAATGCTAGAGGACCATCCACCTCCCCTCCTCTTCACGCCATAATGCTAGAGGACCATCCACCTCCCCTCCTCTTCACGCCACAATGCTACAAGACCCCCCCCCCCCCATCTGCATGACCATCTCCCTCCCCTCCTCTGCACGTCACAATGCTAGAAGACCATCCACCTCCCCTCCTCTGCACGCCACAATGTTAGAAGACCATCCACCTCCCCTCCTCTTCACGCCACAAATGCTAGAGGACCATCCACCTCCCCTCCTCTTCACGCCACAATGCTACGAGACCCCCCCCCCCCCCCCCCATCTGCATGACCATCTCCCTCCCCTCCTCTGCACGTCACAATGCTAGAAGACCATCCACCTCCCCTCCTCTTCACGCCATAATGCTAGAGGACCATCCGCCTCCCCCTCCTCTTCACGCCATAATGCTAGAGGACAATCCACCTCCCCCTCCTCTTCACGCCACAATGCTAGAGGACCATCCACCTCCCCTCCTCTTCACGCCACAATGCTAGAGGACCATCCACCTCCCCTCCTCCTCACGCCACAATGCTAGAGGACCATCCACCTCCCCTCCTCTTCACGCCATAATGCTAGAGGACCATCCACCTCCCCTCCTCTTCACAATGCTACAAGACCCCCCCCCCCCCCCTGCATGACCATCTCCCTCCCCTCCTCTGCACGTCACAATGCTAGAGGACCATCCACCTCCCCTCCTCTTCACGCCATAATGCTAGAGGACCATCCACCTCCCCTCCTCTTCACGCCATAATGCTAGAGGACCATCCACCTCCCCTCCTCTTCACGCCACAATGCTAGAGGACCATCCGCCTCCCCTCCTCTTCACGCTACAATGCTAGAGGACCATCCACCTCCCCTCCACGCCACAATGCTACAAGACCCCCCCCCCCCCATCTGCATGACCCATCTCTCCCTCCCCTCCTCTGCACGTCACAATGCTAGAAGACCATCCACCTCCCCTCCTCTGCACGCCACAATGTTAGAAGACCATCCACCTCCCCTCCTCTTCACGCCACAATGCTAGAGGACCATCCACCTCCCCTCCTCTTCACGCCACAATGCTACGAGACCCCCCCCCCCCCCCATCTGCATGACCATCTCCCTCCCCTCCTCTGCACGTCACAATGCTAGAAGACCCATCCACCTCCCCTCCTCTTCACGCCATAATGCTAGAGGACCATCCGCCTCCCCTCCTCTTCACGCCATAATGCTAGAGGACAATCCACCTCCCCTCCTCTTCACGCCACAATGCTAGAGGACCATCCACCTCCCCTCCTCTTCACGCCACAATGCTAGAGGACCATCCACCTCCCCTCCTCCTCACGCCACAATGCTAGAGGACCATCCACCTCCCCTCCTCTTCACGCCATAATGCTAGAGGACCATCCACCTCCCCTCCTCTTCACAATGCTACAAGACCCCCCCCCCCCCCCTCTGCATGACCATCTCCCTCCCCTCCTCTGCACGTCACAATGCTAGAGGACCATCCACCTCCCCTCCTCTTCACGCCATAATGCTAGAGGACCATCCACCTCCCCTCCTCTTCACGCCATAATGCTAGAGGACCATCCACCTCCCCTCCTCTGCACGCCACAATGCTACAAGACCCCCCCCCCCCCCCCCCATCTGCATGCCACAATGCTAGAGGACCATCCACCTCCTCTGTATCCCACGACGCAAAACCCACAATGCAACAGGACCTTCCGCTACTCCATGACACAAGAGAACTGGATACGAACATTTATAGATAAAGTTGATCCAGGGAATATTCGATTGCCTCTCGGGAGATCAGGAAGGAATTTTTTTTCCCTTGCAGGAGCAAAGTGGATCGTGCTTTGCTGGTTTTTTTGGCCTTCCTCTGGATCAACTGTGGGTGTAGGATTAGAACTTTTTTTTAACCACTTCCCGTCTGGCCCATGTAAATAAACGGCCGGATGGGAGCGGTGCAGCGGCGGGTGGCCATTTATAAACGGCCTCCCTGCTTGTGCGCGCTCCCTGGGAGCACGCAGCACCACAATCCAGTGCCCGCTGTGTCCTCCGGACACAGTGGAACACCGATCGTTGTACGGGACCTCTGTGTGAGGTCCCAATCATGTGATCACTGATTGGCCAATCAGTGATCACATGAAGAGTGGTAAGCAAGATGTCACTTCTGACATCATTGCTTACTACATGTGAAATCTGTGACTGGTCACAGAGATCACATGGTACAGGGCTATTCACAACAGCCTTGTACCATGTGACAAGCTGTGTGACCAATCACAGCTCACACAGTATTTCTCAGGAATGCATCCAGAGTGAAGGAGAAATTAAGCCTTTATGGGTGTAAAAGCAATAGGTGTAAAAAAAAAAAAAAAAAAAAAAAAAAAAAAAAAAAAATCATCCCCCCACACAAGTAGTACATTGTCAATATGGTGACACTGTACTGCTAGGGTGACAGTATGTAAAAAACAAATAATATTAAAAAATAACAAAAATGTAAAAACAATTTAGAAAAATTATAATTTTTGGTTATAAACTAATTTGGGTTATTTTTTTTATTACAAAGATAACTGAATACATTTTGGCCAAGATTTATGAAGAAAGATTATTTATTGACAACATTTTCTAAGAAAAACATTTTCATTTATATAGCAAAAAAATAAAAATACCAGCGGTGAATAAATACCACCAAATAAAGTTTGATCTGTCCCCAAAAAAAATGCTAAAAAATTCATATGGGTACAGTGTTGCATGACCGCGCAATTGTCATTCAAAGTGTGATAGCGCTGAAAGCTGAAAATTGGCCTGGGCAGGAAGGGGGTGAAAGTGTCCGGACTGGAAGGGGGGGGAAAGTGTCAAGACTGGAAGGGGGGGAAAGTGTCAAGACTGGAAGGGGGGGGAAAGTGTCAAGACTGGAAGGGGGGGAAAGTGTCAAGACTGGAAGGGGGGGGAAAGTGTCAAGACTGGAAGGGGGGGGAAAGTGTCAAGACTGGAAGGGGGGGGAAAGTGTCAAGACTGGAAGGGGGGGAAAGTGTCAATACTGGAAGGGGGGGAAGTGTCAAGACTGGAAGGGGGGGAAAGTGTCAAGACTGGAAGGGGGGGAAAGTGTCAAGACTGGAAGGGGGGGAAAGTGTCAAGACTGGAAGGGGGGGAAAGTGTCAAGACTGGAAGGGGGGGTGTCAAAGTGTCAAGACTGGAAGGGGGGGAAAGGGGGGAATTTGAAGTGTCAAGACTGGAAGGGGGGGAAAGTGTCAAGACTGGAAGGGGGGGAAAGTGTCAAGACTGGAAGGGGGGGAAAGTGTCAAGACTGGAAGGGGGGGAAAGTGTCAAGACTGGAAGGGGGAGAAAGTGTCAAGACTGGAAGGGGGAGAAAGTGTCAAGACTGGAAGGGGGGGAAAGTGTCCAGACTGGAAGGGGGGGGAAAGTGTCAAGACTGGAAGGGGGGGAAAGTGTCAAGACTGGAAGGGGGGGAAAGTGTCAAGACTGGAAGGGGGGGAAAGTGTCCAGACTGGAAGGGGGGAAAGTGTCCAGACTGGAAGGGGGGGAAAGTGTCCAGACTGGAAGGGGGGGAAAGTGTCCAGACTGGAAGGGGGGGGAAAGTGTCCAGACTGGAAGGGGGGGAAAGTGTCAAGACTGGAAGGGGGGGAAAGTGTCAAGACTGGAAGGGGGGGAAAGTGTCAAGACTGGAAGGGGGGGAAAGTGTCAAGACTGGAAGGGGGGGGAAAGTGTCAAGACTGGAAGGGGGGGAAAGTGTCAAGACTGGAAGGGGGGGGGAAAGTGTCAAGACTGGAAGGGGGGGGGGGGGAGTGTCAAGACTGGAAGGGGGGGGGGGGAAAGTGTCAAGACTGGAAGGGGGGGGGGAAGTGTCAAGACTGGAAGGGGGGGGGAAAGTGTCAAGACTGGAAGGGGGGGGGGAAAGTGTCCGGACTGGAAGGTGGGGAAAGTGTCCGGACTGGAAGGTGGGGAAAGTGTCCGGACTGGAAGGGGGGGAAAGTGTCCGGACTGGAAGGGGGGGAAAGTGTCCGGACTGGAAGGGGGGGAAAGTGTCCGGACTGGAAGGGGGGGAAAGTGTCCGGACTGGAAGGGGGGGAAAGTGTCCGGACTGGAAGGGGGGGAAAGTGTCCGGACTGGAAGGGGGGGAAAGTGTCCGGACTGGAAAGGGGGGGAAAGTGTCCGGACTGGAAGGGGGGGGGAAAGTGTCCGGACTGGAAGGGGGGGAAAGTGTCCGGACTGGAAGGGGGGGAAAGTTGTCCGGACTGGAAGGGGGGGAAAGTGTCCGGACTGGAAGGGGGGGGAAAGTGTCCGGACTGGAAGGGGGGGAAAGTGTCCGGACTGGAAGGGGGGGAAAGTGTCCGGACTGGAAGGGGGGGAAAGTGTCCGGACTGGAAGGGGGGGAAAGTGTCCGGACTGGAAGGGGGGGAAAGTGTCCGGACTGGAAGGGGGGGGAAAGTGTCAAGACTGGAAGGGGGGGGGAAAGTGTCAATACTGGAAGGGGGGGAAAGTGTCAAGACTGGAAGGGGGGGAAAGTGTCAAGACTGGAAGGGGGGGAAAGTGTCAAGACTGGAAGGGGGTGAAAGTGTCCGGACTGGAAGGGGGGGAAAGTGTCCGGACTGGAAGGGGGGGAAAGCGTCCGAACTGGAAGGGGGGGAAAGCGTCCGGACTGGAAGGGGGTGAAAGTGTTCGGACTGGAAGGGGGTGAAAGTGTTCGGACTGGAAGGGGGTGAAAGTGTCCGGACTGGAAGGGGGGGAAAGCGTCCGGACTGGAAGGGGGTGAAAGTGTCCGGACTGGAAGGGGGTGAAAGCGTCCGGACTGGAAGGGGGGGGAAAGCGTCCGGACTGGAAGTGGTTAAGAGTATAAGTGGACTTGTATCAGTCACATATTCTGTTATGTTAAAGGTTTACATTTGATTTAGTGCTGCACTCCCTGTTTTATGATGGAAGTGGTTAATGGTTGAACTGGATGGACTTTTTTTCAGCCAGACTAACTATGTAAGAACCCCTTCTCTGCATCCTATGACACACAGTACCTCCCCTCTACACTTTTTCCAGGAGCACTAGGACTAATCGATCATATTTCCCAATTTTGATGTAAAACCCCCCATACTGCTTTTCCATTAGACTGCGGCTCTCCATTAATAAATAGGAGTTCATGTTGAATACAAATTGACTGACACTTAATGTGGAGCGGGGGCTGCTTTTGACTTGCAAATTCAAACATATTTTAGCACAGAGAGATTATCCGTGTAATACCTCAATAGACTGAGAGATGTGCATACGATTTATTTCAATCTGGGGAAAGCCGCTTCCTGGTAAGTCCTCGAATTCTTCCTCATAGCGATCAAACAGCTCCGTGGCATCAATCCCAACACTTATTGTTCCCTGTGAGAGAAGACAGAAGTTGCAGTTCACATTGGACAACTTAAATGTAAGGAGATAATTGACTTCTAAAGCGTGCTCATCCTACATGGAGATATATTCTACAGGCTGCAAGAGCGTTCAGGAGACTAGATTGTATTTATTATTTATTTCAGGTACTTCTATAGCGCCATCAATGTACGCAGCGCTTTACATATATATTGTACATTCACATCAGTCCCCGCCCCCGAGGAGCGTACAATCTAAGGCTCCTAACTCACCTTCATACATACACATACTAGGGCCAATTTAGAAAGGAGCCAATTCACCTACCAGCATGTCTTTGGAGCTGTGGGAGGAAACCTGAGTACCCGGAGGAAACCCACGCAGGAACAGGGAGAACATGCAAACTCCAGGCAGGTGGTGCCGTGGCCGAGTGTCAGGGCTCAGGGGTGTGACCAGAGGTATGTGACTGACGCAGGGAAACGCAGGCTTCAGATAAGTTATAAACAATATAATTTATTAAAGACTAACAATACAAACAAACGCAGTGCAATACTAAAACATAACACAGTGCAAACGAACCAAACCAAACCACCCACAGATAACAGTACATACAGTGCAAGCGTCGTCAGGCAGGCCGGGTCAATAACAATCGGGCAGGTAGGTACAGGGGGTTAGGCAGAGAATGGTCGGGGTCACAAGCCAGGGATAAAACACGAGAAGTCAGCAGAGGTCCGGATCAGGCAGGGTCAGCAACGAATCAGACAGGGACAGGGACAGGAATGCAGGAACAAGATACAGGGCCCAGGAAAAACACACACCAAGGCAGAGACTGCAGGTCTGGCCATCCCTTAAATACACCTGCATGATCAACTTCAGGTGTTTGGCTGGCTGCAGGGTTGAGTCTCTGATTGCCGGGAGCACCCGCTGGCCAGCCCTGGTACTGCAGCCCACAAGGCAGGTGGGTCCCACCATTACTGGCAAGTCCATTCCTGACACCGAGATTCAAACATATAACCCTAGTACTGCCGGGAGGAAGTGCTAACCATTTAGTCACTGTGACGATTCATGTAGCATTTACTTCATGGAATCCATCTTGCCTTAGTTTAGGCAGGAGGGTGCGCTTTAGTTAAGAAAGCCACTCCTCCCCTCCTGAAGACTCCTGGGATGTATGACATAGTTGACCTAGGTATGGAAACCAGGAAGTAAGTGAAGAAATGTAAAAAGAAAAAAAAAAAAAGTTTGTCACATAAATGATAGAACGAAGGTATACCACTCAGGCAAACAATCCAGATTAATCCACGACAGGTTCTCGCCACCACACACGACGCAACAGGAAGAAGGGTCAGGCGCACACCGGAGGATAGATGAGTATAGTGGATATTTATTGATCCATCGGACACACAAAACACCAGGACATGAATACAGGACCTGTTAACGCGTTTCACACCATCTCAAATTAATCACAACAAAGAAAAACAACAAAAGTGCCGACTTATATAGTTAATAAAGAAAACCCTAACCAGCACTCCTGAATCCTGCGAAAATTGACGGCGCTGTTTAAATACCCGAAATTAACAAAATAAAAAAAATTCCGTCAGTCCAGGGCGCTGTGCCACGACCGTGACGTCATCACGGCTCCACCATTCAAACGGCCAGAGCCCTTGAAGATAAAAGCCCTCATAGCGATGAGAGGGTGCGATTTTACAGGCAAGTCTGCATCCTTGCACATTATGTCACTAATACTTTTTTTTTTTTTTACTCAAATACTCCGGTTTCCTCCGACACTCTGAAGACATGCTGATAGGTGAATCGGCTCCTGTCTAAATTGTCCCTAGTATGTGTATGTATGAATGTGAGTTAGGGACCTTAGATTGTACGCCCCTTGAGGGTTAGGGATCAATATGAAATATGAATGTACAATATTCATGTAAAGCGCTGCGCAAATTGACGGCGCTGTTTAAATACCTGAAATAAACAAAATAAAAAAAAGTGCCGTCAGTCCAGGGCGCTGTGCCGTGACGTCAACGCGGCTCCACCAAACAGCCGGAGGCCGTGAAGATGAAAGCCCTCGCAGCGATGACAGGGTGCGATTTTACAGGTAAGTCTGCATACTTATATATAAAAACTACCGAATATAATAAGATGAAATGATAAAAACACAATATAAAGATCATAAACCCATGATATGGTCAACAATGTCCAATGAGCGCCACTAATAGTGGTAAGTTAAAGTGACAAAGTGCAAATATAGATCAATACAGGTGATCATAGGTGTAGCTAAAGTGACAGAGTCCTTATGTAGCAGATAGACGTGAAGTCTCAGATAAGGGTGATCCTTTAAAGATTCTTCTGGTGATAATCAGATAATAAAATTACGCACTCACCAGATGCGCAATACTGTAGCGTATTTGAGAACATAAATCTCATTGGGTCAGCTGGATCATCCCGTGGACATCTATCCCTGGTGAGGACTCCTGGGTCATCAGTAGCACCTCACACCTCTTCTTTAGTTAGACTCTGTGGGTGGTGGGGCTCAAGACAAGAGCCCCCAAGAAAGGATGCCAGGATAGTGTGATATTATTATTATACAGGATTTATGGCGCCAACAGTTTGCTCAGCGCTTTACAATATAAGGGAGACGGTACAATTACAATACATTTCAGTACAGCAGGAATAGGAAGGCCCGGCTCGTGGAGCTTACAATCTAAAGGATTGTGTGTGTGATATTGCTTCAATATATTTATTGATCCAAAAAACACGGAAAATCACATAAACTGACCATGCACTGGAGTCCAAAATGGCAGCCGGACCAGCAGGGGCCCCGGCGGTGTGACGTCAGGACGCTGCAGCTCCTCCCTAAGTCTGCATACTTGCACATTATGTCACTAATACTTTCTTTTTTACTCCATTCACTAATACTTTACTTTTTTTTTTACTCAAATACTCCGGTTTCCTCCGACACTCCAAAGACATGCTGGTAGGTGAATTGGCTCCTGTCTAAATTGTCCCTAGTATGTGTATGTATGAATGTGGGTTAGGGACCTTAGATTGTACGCCCCTTGAGGGTTAGGGACCTTAGATTGTACGCCCCTTGAGGGTTGGGGACCTTCGATTGGACGCCCCTTGAGGGTTGGGGACCTTCGATTGGACGCCCCTTGAGGGTTGGGGACCTTCGATTGGACGCCCCTTGAGGGTTGGGGACCTTCGATTGGACGCCCCTTGAGGGTTGGGGACCTTCGATTGTACGCCCCTTGAGGGTTGGGGACCTCCGATTGTACGCCCCTTGAGGGTTGGGGACCTTAGATTGTACGCCCCTTGAGGGTTGGGGACCTTAGATTGTACGACCCTTGAGGGTTGGGGACCTTAGATCGTACGCCCCTTGAGGGTTGGGGACCTTAGATCGTACGCCCCTTGAGGGTTGGGGACCTTAGATCGTACGCCCCTTGAGGGTTAGGGACCTTAGATCGTACGCCCCTTGAGGGTTAGGGACCTTAGATCGTACGCCCCTTGAGGGTTAGGGACCTTAGATCGTACGCCCCTTGAGGGTTAGGGACCTTCGATCGTACGCCCCTTGAGGGTTAGGGACCTTCGATCGTACGCCCCTTGAGGGTTAGGGACCTTCGATCGTACGCCCCTTGAGGGTTAGGGACCTTAGATCGTACGCCCCTTGAGGGTTAGGGACCTTAGATCGTACGCCCCTTGAGGGTTAGGGACCTTAGATCGTACGCCCCTTGATGGTTAGGGACCTTAGATCGTACGCCCCTTGAGGGTTAGGGACCTTAGATCGTACGCCCCTTGAGGGTTAGGGACCTTAGATCGTACGCCCCTTGAGGGTTGGGGACCTTCGATTGTACGCCCCTTGAGGGTTAGGAATCAATATGAAATATGAATGTAACAATATATATGTAAAGCGCTGCGCAAATTGACGGCGCTGTTTAAATACTTGAAACAAACAAAATTAAAAAAAGTGGCGTCAGTCCAGGGCGCTGTGCCGTGACGTCATCGCGGTTCCACCATTCAATCGACCCGTGAAGATGAAAGCCCTCGTAGCGTATGTATGAATGGAAGTTAGGGACCTAGGAGTTGAGAACATGGCAGCCTCGTCTGTGACAGATAACTGCGATCCTGACAAGTTTCCCTTTTAAAGTCAAGTATCTAAGATTAAGAAAAAAAAAAAAAGAGGAAAAGTCGGATAAGCAAGAGATGGATCAGCAAACTCGCAGCTATTAAAGGAAATGAGGCGCACTAAATCCAGTCAACTGATTAACTTTGTAGCCGAGGGAATGTACACAACACATTACGGTGCCATGCAGCTTAATGGCATTGCTTCCTTCACTTTTACAGTGGCGGTGGCCTTTTCCGATGACGCGCTCGGCTCTCAGCGCGGGAGGAGGAGAGGCTCGCCATCCATCAAGGCCTCCCATCCCTCAGAGATTCAATTATGACGAATGCTGTACCCAAATTAATCCACGTGGCCTACTTCCTGTGATTAGCCGCGGTATTTATGGGGCATTTTTCATCACGGGATTCCGTAGGCCCGGGCCTTGCCTGGATTAAGCCGGCTCTATGCGAGGTTTACGAGCAGCCATGAAAACACAAGCGGGAATACACATTTCAATTTGGATTCATTATATGTTTCAAGTGGGCAAAGCAGTTATTCACGAGAACTAGTTCAGCCGATCTTGAACTTTTCTGTACTCAGAGGTGACATCAAACTTACTGGGCCTTGCACGCATTACGGGGTTTTTATCTGAAAGGAAAGCACATTATCCTAAGTAACCAATCGGGTTCTCTCGTTTTGCGTGGAAGGAGGGTGGAAAATAGAAGGGGGATGTTCTAACTGGGTGACAGATTTCCCTTTTAGATTCTGGAAAAAAACGCTTGTGCATAGTAAGCAATGTTTAAAAGAAAAAAAAAAAAAGGAAACCTTTAGTCTTGCTATAAAAAAAAAAAAAAAAAAAAAAAAATCAATAAAAGGGCCAATAATGCTCCGAACCACAAGCACCGTCTGCCATAATTCT